AACTGCTAAACTAGTTCTCTATCAGTCAATTCAGTACTTAACAAAGATAGGGTTAACGACATGGTTTGAATCCTGAATTTTTAACTTTTCAGAGACTACATCCTAACAAAAAAAAATTATAGGGATTTATCACAAAATTATTTACATTTATAGGGTCCAATAACATATTTAAGCCATTTTAATTTAATATTTTTTATAAATTAAAATGTTATTGTAAAACCAATTTAATGTAGAATATAATATGAAAGCATGTTTCTAATGAAATAGTTATTTATTTATAAATAGATATAAAATATTTTGAATGTAAAGTAAAGGAGTTTTATCAATTAAAACACAATTATTATTAAAAAAAAATATATTTGTCAACTACTTTGACGTAAATATTTCATATCATGTTTGAATATAAAAAGCTTGTAATAAGATATTCATTTTCTTGAAATAAAATTCGAAACCATGAATAAGGAAAAAAGAATAATATTTTGAATATAAATAATATGTACAATTAGTTATTAAATCATTTAGTTTAAATTTATAAACTCTTTAATTGATGATAAATTAAAACATACGATTTATCTTTTATATTGATACTTTTAGTTGATATATATGTTTAAATTTATTTAACATGATATAATTAAAAAATGGTTGGATATAATACAAAAATGAGAAATAAGCCTCAATAGAATTAATTAAAAAAAAACCAACAGAAAGTACAAAAGTGAAGTATAGAGGCTGGAATGAATTTGCAAAAATAGAAAAAATTTATTAGATTAGTTCATAATTGTAGATTAAAAATACATTAAAAAGGATTTATATCTAATAACTAATACAAGACAAGGGAAATATTGTCTCCTAAAAAAAGAAAATAAATATTGAGAATAAAAAATAACAAGAAAAGGAAAAAATAGTTTATTAAAAGAAACATATTTGAATTTTTTATTTAAAATTTTTAAAAATATGATATATATATATATATATATATATATATATTATGTAATATCATCGCTTTATAAATGTTATTGTGGTGTATATTGTTTGAATAAGCTTTTAAAATTTGAAAAATTGACGTTCATATTCAAACATTTAAAATATTGAAATATAATGAAGTTATAAGATCATTAGCAAAATTGCATGCTAAGATAAAAAAGATTAAATAATTAAAATTTAATATTTCGAAGACTAAATTATTTTAGAGCTTACTCCAAGAACACTGGTGCCTAAAAAGTAATAGTTAAGAAATTTACAAAAATTATTAAAATACATTAAAAATAATAATAAATGTGCATTAATAATAATTTTTATTTTTTAACTAATATTTTTATTTAATATAATTTTTTTAAAATAATATCATCCTTGCATTAAATGACGTGGCAATGATCAATGCATGGCATTAATGCATTTATGTGAAGTTGGTGTTTTTAGTTAGTAGTAGAGTCAATAACGACTTTCAAGGAAGTCCTCTTCCACTTGAAAATGCTAATAAATATTGCTAAGGTACTAAAGAATACAAGGAAAAGGGTTTGATGAAATATTTTTAATACACTTTTAGGACTTTTAATCTATTTTTAATAAGATTTTCAATAAAAATATAAATGACAGACTTAATTAGACGTAGAATTTGTAAAATGGACTTATTTAAACCTGAATGACAAATATAAGGTTTTAAGTTTAAATTTTAAGTATGAATTAAATTTAAATTTTATTAGTGTGGTATGATAAAATCGATGTACTAAATATGTAAAAGCTTATAATTTTTTTTAAAATAGATTTTTTCAAGTTTAAACACTACTTTTTTAAACAAATTAAATTTAAAATTTTAACTTGACTACACTCAGTTTTTTTTGTCTGCAATAAGTACGTTCAAATGGATTAAATAATTCATTTTGTTCACTCTAATTATACGACTTATTTTATATACGGTATTAAGGTTTTTTAGTTTATGTGACATGAAATTTAACTCTTCTTAATTTAGCTATAGTCTGAGTTATTTGAATAAAAGAAAAATACAACAAAAGATTCTAAGAAGCAAGATTTTTTTCTTTTAGAGAGAATGCGGTAGAGACACTCTTCAAATACAACAAATAGAATTAAGTTTTTAAATTAAGATTTTATTTATTTTAAAATTTAGTTTATTTAATATATTATATTATAATTTTTATATAAAATTATTTAATATATTATTAAATTTTATGAATTTTAAATAGGTTATTTTAACAAGTTTAATAGGTGTTTTCTTAAATTTAAATTTAATTAATTAAATTTTTTTAAAAATTTAAATTAAACTTATTAATTAATTAAGTTAGGTTATGTCAGACTTTTAAAAGGTTAGATTATAAGTGAGTCTAACCTATTTTCATATTTAGTTATAAATAATCTTCTCGATTTAACATAAATTAATTAATTTTAAAGTAATTTTCAGATATTGAGAAAGTAGTGAGACTAAAAATTATTAAACGTGGTATTTTTCTTCAATTATGTAATGAACAATGTCTTATTATTCAGTAATAAAATAGATTGTGTAATAAATAATGTTTACCTATATTAAAAAGGATGCAACAAATAAAAAAAATTGGCCTTAAGCAAGAAGATTATAAATAGATGCTTGTACATGGTCGATTCTTTTGGAAGATAAGATGTCGTAATTGAGCTTTCCGTATGAAAAAAATGTTAAAAATTAATGTCATTATGTTATATATATTTTTGGCTCAAATTAAATTACTTTACGTGAATGATAAAGGTAGTTTCTAGAGAAAAAAAAAAATTGTCAGGGTTGCATTGTGAATTATTTAATCTGTGGATTGGATAACACGTTTAATGGCTTATATTAAAGTAAAATTGTTTATATGTAATGCATGGTGTTATACAAGAGTTGTAACTTTACTAGTAGTTAAATTTTCGACATGGTGGTAAGAGTTTTTATTCATGTCATTTGAGAGATGCATGCATGTTATATAAATTTATAGATAAAATTTAACTTCATGGCCCAATAATACATAAAAATGATCTTACAAAAAATGAATAAGTTAAATATTGAAAATGGCTTGGCTCTTATTCAGTGAGCTCCTAAAATATACTTTTTATGCCTCAATTAAAACTAAAACATGGGGAGGGTATTCTACGTACTACACGACCCATATTAAGGTTTCTTCAATCCCTGTTTGTTTTTGTTTTTTTATCTAGTAAATAAAAAGTATTATTTGAATAAAAATTTGAAACGAAAAAAAATTGTATATTTAATATTAGAATTTACATTGAAACATGTGTATGAAAAATAAAAATTATTACATATAATATTTTATACACGATTTTTTTGAAAATTTAAGTGATAAAACTGTACCCCAAAATTCATGAAACCAGAGAAATTATGTTTGACCCCACAGATTAAATAAAAAGAGTTAGGAATTGATTTAAATTCTTCCTTCTAGAACAGTGATTCATTGATTCTTTATTCTCTTGTATCTCTGCTTGGTTCAGATTGGAGATGGTAGTGCCAAGTATATTCTCGAAGCCATTTATCATAAGGATAAAATTTTATGCATAATCTTTTAATATATTTAGTGTGATTTTTAATTAAAATTATATCTTGGCAATATCTTATAAATATAGTTTTAATTAAAAATAATATAAAAATACTTAAAAATTTACGCTTGAAATTTATAATCAAAGAGAAACCAAAGATGGGGTTTATGGCTGAGCTGAAAGCTTCGGTCGTTGTAAGTGGGGCCAAAATCATGTCGCTTGAAGCTTCCCTTCCCAATCACTGACTTCACCGAAAGAATAAAAAAAAAACAGTGAGCACTGAAATCAGCGACAAGCTTTTCCTAAACGCAAGGTAGTGATGGAATTAGGAAGAAACAACGCCCTAATCATTTACAGTATCATTTATTACTAATTTTACCTCATTCAATTTTGTAAGTGAGAGAAGCATTATCATGTTAAAAGGTAATCTAATACCTTTGAAAAGAAAATATTTAATCTTTTGTAATAAAATTTTGATCCACCTTCAGATCAAAAATCCCAATTCGCACTCATGCTCTAACCTTTAGTTATATGTCAAATTAAAATATTAATATACAGAAAATAAAATAAATTTAACTGGTATTAAATAGCACTAAAATTATATAACAAAATAATTAATGTGCTTGTAAATATATGTATCTTTTATTGTTTCAATTTGTGGAAGTTAGTTCGTGGGTTCAAAAGCTCACATTTTTTCCTTTTTGTCTCATATTAACACTTTCATTGCCAAAAAGTAAAGCACCCTTTTATGGACTTGAGCGAGCATCTACCATTAATGAAATCCATGTCATCATGGAAATGGACGAGTGAAACTTGGGTCTTGAAAAAGTATAGGCGTAGAATATACACCTTCACATACTAGTCGTGAGTCACTTTCTAAGGACTTCAATAGCTGTCTAATTGCTCCCAACGAAAAATTATTCATTAATATATATATATACACACACACAATTATAAATCTACTGGACTGTAATTTGTGAATAAAGTGTAAGGGAAGAAACGTGCTCTTAATATGTCGAAATTATTTATCACCTTATTTATTTTTGGAAACGATTTTAAAAAAAACAAGGAATTTTTTCTGGACATAAACTATTGACAAGTGAATAACCCTCAAACGGTGCCACCACGTGACAATAACACCCGAAAATAAACTACGAAGACAGTAAATCCTTTTTGGTTTTATACAGAAGTTACGTTCATAAGTTTCCAATGAACTGTCATTAGCGATCCATATGTCATACATGTGCAGAACGTAAAGGTGTGACATACAGATACAGTACTATCATACTAAGAAAAGCAGCATGGTATCTATGTAGAATTGAGAGAAAATAACAAAACTAGCAGGTTAAACTTACCAACGTTACGCTTTTGTTTTTGTACAAGTAGTGGGACACACACGAAATAACCAAACTCCAAGTTCACACTGTAGTTCTAATGAATTGGTAACAATAAAAGTAACCAACATGCTGAATTCGCCCCAACAACCAAAAGCCATTAAATTTCCACATATATTAATATGGATCTATGATTCTATCTATCAATTCATCAAAGCAGCGTCCACCATTCAAATTCACACAACATCCCAACAATATATACACCATAACATAACACGATCTTATCATCATATCATATCCTCCGAATACCACAGTTTAACTTACGAATAAATTAACACCAAACACACACATCTCACACAAAGCGTCTCCCACACGAAACCCCCCATTCTTCTCCCTCATCGCAACCACCATCACATAGCCCCCCCTCTCCAAATTATATTATTCAATCTTCACAGATAGCAATATCACAAGCCATCTAATCAAATAAAAATAAAAACACAAGATGTCGGTGAAGGAGTGCGACCACCACAAGGGGAAGAGGAGGAGAATATTCCTGCGAATATTCTGGGGCATAATAGTGTTTCTCTTCATTGTGCTGCTCACAATCCTTCTAATTTGGGCAATTCTAAGACCCTCAAAACCTTCCTTCATCCTCCAAGACGTCACCGTTTACGCCTTCAACGCCACCGTTCCAAATTTCTTAACCTCCAATTTCCAAGTCACACTCGTATCACGCAACCCCAACGACCGCATCGGCGTCTATTACGACCGTCTCGACACCTACATCAGTTACCGGAGCCAGCAAATCACTTACCGGACCGCTATCCCTCCATCGTATCAGGGTCACAAAGAATTAAACGTTTGGTCGCCGTTTGTTTACGGCACAAACGTTCCTGTCGCGCCTTTTAATTTTGAAGGTCTCCGCCAGGATCAGATTAACGGTAACGTCCTCGTTACCGTTAGAAGTGACGGCAGAGTTCGTTGGAAGGTTGGTGCCTTCATCTCAGGCCGTTACCACCTCTTCGTCCGTTGCCCCGCGTACATCAGTTTCGGCCCACGGAATAGCGGAGTTGTCGTTGGCGAAAACGCCGTTAAGTTCCAGCTAGTCCAACCCTGCTCCGTTAGCGTTTAGTGCTACTGCTTCACATATATACTCTCTACTCTTTTCTTTGTATTTTTATACGTACGTATTTTTCCACTGTTTTGTTAATTGTTATTGTACGTGTAACTTGTGTATGGATTAATCATCGGTGTTTGTATTTTGCATTTTGCATTTTGCTATAGAAATGTGAAACAGATTGAAGAGTCGGGGAGGGGATATAGCAAAATTACGAGATGGATAACATGGAAATGTAATTGAACTACGGTGGTAATAAATTCTCGTTCCAATTTGGATTACAAATGAGTGTGTGATGAGGCATACGGTGTCAACATCTTTCCTTTTCTCAATAATATTATTGTGAGATAAGCGTTCTTTTGGCTTTGGACGTTCTTTCACTTACCTTTAGGGCATCTCTTTATTCTTTCGTTGCTTAATTATTTAATTGTATTGGTATATATGTGTGTATATTCACTAGTCTATATATTCCGTTTCGCCTGTTTTATCTGCACGTATTGGACCACTTTTATTATTATATAAATTATTTTTTTTGGATAGCGTTTAGAGATTCAATGTGTTCATTTGGCTGGAGATATACCTGCACCGTACCCACAGTTTCAGTTTCAGGTTCCACTTGATGTGTGTGCTATATTGGATAGAAAAAGGTTTTAGTGTGGAATATGATGTTCCGTGTGGAAGCTAGAAAAGTGTAGCCTCTTGAAAATTAGGGTAATTCCATTATCCCAACTCTAGCAAATTTATTTTGTAATGAGAACGGATTTAAGGGAAAAGGTGAATTATTGAGGGATTGTGGGTGGCTTTTGGAGGAATGTGAGTGTATATTTGTTTGTCCCGCACGGCATAGTGGTGGTCCTTTTCAAATTACCTCACCTACTTTGCCACCTAATAATATCTTCAAATAAAGGACCTTTCTTTCCATAGTTCCATTAACTGTATGAGTGAAAACGGTCCTTATCTACATTCATATCCTTTAATCAAATCAAAGTTAAGATGACCCAACTTAAGGATTTTTTCACCTCACTAATGTAATTTTTTTTCGTGTGATGTTTGAAAATTTAAATAATTTAACTTGTAAACTCCACTTATTCATATATTTACGAAATATGAGTTGATTTTTCAATATTTTTTTTTTTTAAAATACACGTATAGTATGATTTATTTGTAAGTTAAATGAGACCTAGGTGAAGAAAAATATAAGATGTATTTAGAAAGCATAACTTGCTTTTAGAAAATTACATTGATCGCACACCACAAATTCAACTTAATAATAATGTCGATCATGTTCGCCTCATAAGTTGTTATTTTAATTAAGACTGACATAATTTTATAATTTTTTGGACCACTTAAGTGACATAGAAAGTGAATCGAACTATATATAAAGTATAAGCTTTTAATTAACCAAGGTTAACCCAATCCAAAAAACTTGTTTTTATCCAGTTCAATTAACCTTGAGTACAGTCCTCACATCAAACGAAAGTTAATTGGGAGCTTAATTGGTGAATATAACCGACAGAGCAGCCGGTCTGGTAAGTACAACAACGTTAAAGATTAAAGGAACCTTCTTTTGAATTGTCAAAAATGATCACAATCGGCACCATGCATGTCAAGGTGAAGATAACCCCCACACGATATATATACTCACCAAGAACATTCAACTCAGCTACCCCAGACGAAGCCTTACTCATATCTGTGTAGCAGTACACCGTTATCAATCATAATCTCTCGTTTTCTCGACCATTAACTCAAATCTCTCAGCGCCTTTTTTCTTCATATTAATATTTATAGCTTAGAGGATGAGATAGCCCTCCCTTGATCTTCAAGACCTGAGAAGAAATACACAGTAACCGAATTATCTATCCTTATAAATTTAAATCCTCTTTATTAAATATTTATTAATAATATTTTTTTCTAAACCACAAATTAAATCCTTATATTTTTTTTTCTAAACTGAATTATTAATTTTTTACCAATTTTTTGTTAGTTTTTCTGTATTACTTTATATAATTTTTTTGTTTTCGGTGAACACATATTTTCATTTATAAAAACACTTTATTATCTTATATTTTATGGTAACAAAGTTAAGTTAGAATAATTTTTAAAAAAAAGCTATATGTATATTAACATATACATATACATACACATATAATAATAATAATAATAATAATAATAATAATATAATTTTACTCTTTTATTATTAAAATATATTTTTTCATTTTAAAATAAAATGCTGCACTAATCAGGCTACTAACTAGTTATATTTTAAAATTATTTAATTTTTTTAAACCTTTATCATTTTGATCATACTATTTGTAATTAAAGAAATAAGTTAACATAATTTTAAAAAATTAATATTTTAAATAATTTTAATATATATTCCATATATATTTATTTTAATATAAAATACATGCATATTGCACATGCTGTTTACTAGTTGAACTAAAAGTAAAGTTTATGGTGTGTATTTGTAAAGATGGTAAATTGTAAGGTGGCTAAAACCTCTTTACTATGAATATATATATATATATATAAATATAAATATAAAAGTTGAATGGAAGACCTTGAACACATATTACATGTATCATGATAAAAGAAAATGTAAACAAAATTAACATATTTAAAAAGCATAAAATTTTAAAATAAAAGGCTCCAGTTTCATCTTTTTATCTGTATGTGTTAGTACATCAGTTTGCTTAAAAAAATTATCATCAAATTAATCACGTTAGCACATTAGTTTGCTCAAGTTTTTTCAATTTAATTTAAATAGACTGATATTTTGAAAAAATATTTACACTGAATGATCATATCAATAAGAATATTTGATTTTTGTAATAATCAATATAAAAATCTATCCATGATATAATGTTTGTTTTTTTACACTGACAGTGCACAAAAATTAAAGTTAAATTTTGTCACCAAAATAATCATTCAATTATGCTTTTATTAATTTATTTTTTAAAATATTTTTTATTCATTATTTTAGAGCCTTGCAAAATCAAATATGATGACATGTTATTTGAGAAACTAATTTAGAAGTAAAATCTTTAAATAGTTATATATAATGATTATTTAAATATTGAAAAGACTAATAATAAGATAATCATTTTTTTCAATTTAGGGAGTAATGTGGTGATACATTTAATTTTTTAAAGGACCAAATTAAGAATTTTTTTTACTTTACATTTTTATAAATATTTTATAATTTATATAATGAGAGGATTTTACCTAAATTAAACAAGTTTATTGTGTTAAGGTAAAAATAACTAGTTTTTCAGGATAGTGGCTTTCTTTATGATTAGGGTTATAGGTCTCTCTAAGCTGAAAGCAAGTTAATTTTCTTGTCAGTACTTTGGGCCGTAGGCTACTCTGTCCCAGATACTAGATAGAAGTACCATTATGAACAATCAGAAGTATTGTTACCTTGGAATTGGCCCATTCTCACACATGGTCAAAATATCATCCATGGTTTTCATTATAGCTGAGTATATGGTTCGGCCCACTCTACATAAGCCCGTAGTTAATGGGTCTAAACTGCCCAAGCTCATTTTTAAATGGACTCAAGTTTTTGAAATCCATGGTCCCTCGGGCTGGCCTGCTTACTTTTGTTTTTACTTATTAATTTTATACATATATTTTGTTATTCTGACTTTAATTTTGAACAAGGTTAACGGGTTGGTCTGGGAATCCAATGGCTGAGCCCGTTTAACCTGCAGTGATAATTGATTGACTAGGTCAAGGTATCAAGTCACTGTAAACATTGATTCCTAGGTCAAGTGGGCAACGAAAAATCGGTTGTAATCTTTGTGGGAGCAGCGCAAAACGCGTTCGTTCATTCATATTACGCGTCCTTACCCGTACATGTACACCCTCGTCGTGGTTTCGCCCAATTCATTCTATCCAATTCCTAGCACCGGTCAACTCAACCTGCTAGTCTTCTTCATGGTCAAGCCAAAATTTAATTAGGCAGAAAAAGGATATCAATAGCATAGGTGAAATATATTTTTATTTTTATATTTTATTAAACTTGTCTTTTTAATCTTTTTAAAAAAATTTAATTTATTTTTAATCTCTTTTATTTATGTTGTCCAGTTAAAAATGAATATAAGATGATCCTTTAATGAATCATATCAATTATAGAGATTGCCATGTGGAGCTGCAAGCACATGACCTGTATATATCCACACATACCCTCCTCGCATTGCATCACTTCACTTCACTCTTTAGTTCTGTATTCCATATCATTCGTAAGGCACAGATATGGCTGAATATAAGCAACCTCGACTAAATGGGGCCTACTACGGCCCAGCAATTCCACCGGCAGAGCCACCACGGCAACGCTCTAACAGTGCCAGAAGATGCTGTTGCTGTCTCTTGAGCATCTTCTGTAAGGTTCTAGTAGCAATAATCGTCTTCATTGGCCTCTTCATCCTCATCTTCTGGCTCGTAGTCCAGCCACGCCTCTTCAAGTTCCACGTGTCAGAAGCTAAGCTCACCCAATTCAACTACACGGACAACACCCTCCATTACAACCTCGTACTCAACTTCACTGCTCGAAACCCCAACAAAAAGCTCAACATCTACTATGACAAAGTGGAGGGTCAAGTGTTATACGACGGTGTGGGGTTCGCTTCAACGGACGTGGTCACGTGGAAGAACTCGTTCCGCCAACACACGAAGAGCACGGACAGCATGAGCGGCGTTTTCTTGGGGCAATATGTGGTGGCGCGTGATCACGAACGCGACTCTGATTTCGACAAAGATAAGAAAAGAGGGGTTTTTCATATCGATGTGAGGCTCTATTTCACGATTAGATTTAGGCTTGGTGATGGAATAGGTGGCGACACTAAGGCGAAGGCAAAGTGTGAGCTTGGGGTTCCTTTGAGTTCTAATGGGATTACTGGGACTGCGTTTCAGCCCACTGAGTGTGACGTCGATTTCTGAGGGTTCCTACTTCACGCGCAGCACATTTAATTTTCTCATTCCCATCTACTATTGGATTAGGATTAGTTGGTTGAACTTTCTTTTTCCTTCCAGTTTGTTTTTGTAATTTCTGATTTTGTAAAAGTTATTATTTTCCTTTGCAAGTAGATTCTTTTACTTCTTTTTTATGTTATTCACGCTTAGTTTGCAATTAAAAGGCTTTTTTAGTTGTAGCAAAAAATAAGGGGACTTTTTATTTTAATAATACTAATTTAAAAACTAATTTTTAAAATAAGTATAATTCAAAATTAATTGTTTGACTATTATTTTTTTAACTCAACACTAATTTTGCATATGTATGTACAACAACATAATTTTATTATTATTTTAATATAATATTGTCACAGACATTTTTGATACATAACCTAATTGACTCGTGTTTTCTAACATATGTATAAAAAAAAAAGGTCAATAGTCACTATTGTTGTATGTCAGCCGGCAACATTGCTAGAGATCATTTGTTAGTGGGCGATACTGCTTAATAGCAACATAGGCCCAATTATTATTTCGGTTATTCCGGCTACCAAAGATACTAGTGTAGCCAAGGAACTTCTAAAGGAAAAAGAAGTTCATATTAAATAAATAAATTAATTAATTAAATAATGTGACTCATATGAAATATCATTATAGGCCTATAAAAAGGCTTATTGGTTATTATGAGAAGTTACTTATGGTTATCAACTTGATGGAGGTTGAACAAAATATATAAAGGGGTTCTGTCTCTGCTAAGAAAGTCTCTGCTAAGAAAGTCTCTCATTTTTGTTAACCATCGAGCGTGTGAGAAAGAAAGAATCAAAATTGGCAAAGAGATAGATTGAGTACAGGGAACATAAGATTTACTCTCATTGGACTTAATGGATAAAGGTATGTCTCTCTTATCATTGAATTTCAGTAGGAATGATAAATTCTAAGATCCGTATGATGTACCGTAAATGTTACATGTTATATGATGCACTATAAGTAATCTTACATGTGATATTAGAGCTTGGTTTTTGAATTTGTGATTCTCCGTGAATGAATTTTCCCAATTTTATGAACCCTAGTTGCCTATGCTATGAGTGAATTCGTGCTAAGTGTTTCAATTAGAAACATTAAATTCGTATAAAATCACATGCCGAATACTTTCCCTGTGGTTGGATGTCTTCCCGTCATGTCAATTTCAAATTGAATTTTGGTGAGAACCGTATTACATTATTTTTCATTGCGACGTGATTGACTCTCGCATTGTTATCTCATGTTGAATATATAGAAGCATTATTGTTCATGTCTGACATTGCGTAATTGTATGCTTGTTTCATATATATATATATTGGCCAATTGGATTTGGATGCCTATTCTTTATATATATGTATATACTGCCTTCTGAACATAGATAAAGAGAATTGCCTACATAATGTGTAACTTTTGGGCACGGTTTTCGATTTCATCATTATATGTTTTTTTTATAGAATTGTTCTGAAAGTAATGCAAATTATGTATAAAAAATGTGAATTATTTTACGAATGCTTATAATTTTGGGATTAAATGTATGATAGATTTGTTAATCACCCAAGTGATCAAGTCTGTAATTTTATTTGATTCTAAAATTAGTGATGAACTTTATTTCAATTACTCATAGGATGGATGCTAAATTATAAATAATTTCTTTATGGGTTAATTAAAATTCATTATTATAAGACATTTATGAATCACCCAAAGGTTGATTAGTTGTTCTTATAATTAATGGGTATAAGCGTTGGTACTCAGTATGCATTATTAGCTTTATTTATATATCCAAAGATAATAAGTGTTTCTAATTAATGCATAAATATTACCAAATAATGTTAATATTACTAGCATCATTATGTTTTGTGTATTAATGTATCACCCAAAAGAGAATATTGATATGCATAGAATGATTATTTGTTGTTTGAATTTGTATTATATGTTTAATTTATGACTCAAAGTGTTAATGTTAGGCATGTGTTAATTGCAGTATCTGTTCCTGTATCTTTACACTCGCTTGCTACGTCTGTTCTGGTCTTTAATGGGTTGAATTTCTCTGATTGGAACGAACAAGTCCAATTTCACTTAGGTGTTTTGGATCTTGATGTGGCTCTTCAAGTTGAGAAACCTACTGCTATTACGGCTACTAGTAGTAATGAAGAGAAAGCCCATTTTAAGGCTTGGGAAAGGTCGAACAGACTTAGCCTGATATTTATGCAAATGAGTGTAGCAAGTAACATCAAATCAGCTTTTCCTAAAACTGATGTTGCAACACAATTTATGAAAAATGTGGAAGAGCGCTCCCAAACTGCTAATAAGTCTCTTGCTGGGACATTAATGAGTACTTTAATCACTATGAAGTTTGATGGTTCTCGTACTATGCATGAACATGTCATTGAAATGACAAATATTGCAGCAAGACTTAAATCTCTTGGAATGGCAGTGGATGAGAGTTTCCTTATGCAATTCATTTTGAACTCATTACCGTCTGAGTATGGTCCTTTCCAAATGAACTATAATACCATGAAAGACAAATGGAATGTGCATGAATTGCACAGTATGTTAGTTCAAGAGGAAACTAGACTTAAGAATCAAGGAAATCACTCCATTCATTATGTAAATAATCAGGGAGTTGGAAAGAAAGCTGATAAGAAACATGGAAAGGGAAGTGGACCATTAAAGATTGGTGAGTCCTCTACTAAAATCCAGAAGAAAAATGACAAATGTCATTTTTGTGGGAAGTCTGGACATTTCTAGAAGGATTGCCCAAAACGTAAAGCTTGGTTCGAAAAGAAAGGTGAGCATAATGCTTATATATGTTTTGAATCAAATTTAACTAAAGTTCCCCATAATACTTGGTGAATTGATTCTGGATGTACAACTCATGTTTCTAATATGATGTAAGGATTCCTTTCAACCTGAACCATAAACCCAAATGAGAAGTTTGTCTTCATGGGGAATAGAGTGAAGGTTCCAGTAGAAGCCGTCGGGACTTACCGTTTAACACTTGACACTGGATTTCATTTAAACTTATTTGATACTTTTTATGTACCTAGTATATCTAGGAATTTGGTTTCTTTGTCTAAACTTGATGTTGCTGGATACTCTTTTAGGTTTGGGAATGGTTGTTTCAGTTTGTTTAAGTGTACTTGTATGATTGGATCTGGTACACTTTATGATGGTTTATATAAATTGAATCTTGACAATTTATATGTTGAAACTCTTATGACCTTGCATTATAATATTGGCACTAAACGTAGCTTAGTGAATGAATGTTCTGCTTACTTGTGGCATAAGTGTTTGGGACACATTTCCAAAGAAAGGATGCAAAGATTAGTGAAGAATGAAATCCTTCCGGATTTAGATTTTACTGATCTAAATATATGTGTGGATTGTATTAAAGGCAAACAAACAAAACACACAAAGAAAGGAGCCACAAGAAGCACTCAGCTTCTTGAAATTATACATACTGATATATGTGGACCTTTTGATGTAAATTCTTTCAATAAAGAAAGGTACTTTATCACTTTTATTGACGATTTTTCACGTTATGGATACGTCTACTTACTGCATGAGAAGTCTCAAGCAGTGAATGCCTTAGAAATTTATATAAATGAAGTGGAAAGGCAATTAGACAGAAAGGTAAAAATTGTTAGGTCAAATAAAGGTGGTGAGTATTATAGAAGATACGATGAAAGTGGACAACATCTCGGTCCATTTGCTAAGTTCCTTGAGAAATGTGGTATTTGTGCTCAATACACAATGCCAGGTACACCACAACAAAATGGTGTGTCAGAAAGGCGTAATCGGACCTTAATGGACATGGTTAGGAGTATGTTAAGTAATTCATCTTTACCTGTATCATTGTGGATGTATGCTTTAAAAACTGCTATGTATTTGTTGAACAGGGTTCCTAGTAAGGCAGTTCAAAATATACCTTTTGAGTTGTGGACAGGTAGGAAACCCAGTTTGAGACACCTGCATGTTTGGGGTTGTCAGGCAGAAGTTAGAATATACAATCTGCAAGAAAAGAAACTGGATGCAAGAACAATCAGTGAATATTTCATTGGTTATCCAGAAAAATCAAAAGAGTATATATTTTACTGTCCTATCCATAGTATAAGAATTGTTGAAATAGGAAATGTCCGGTTCATTGAGAATGGTGAAACCAGTGGGAGTGAAGCTTTACGAAATGTGGAGATTAAGGAAGTTAGAGTACAAGTTCCCTTAACTAGTGCTTTTACTTCAAGAACTGTTGTTCCTCATGTTGTTGAACCATACAACAATCAAGAAGAACAACAAATCAATGATCTCAAGGTCAATAATGAACTTGCAGTAGAATAACCACAAGAAATAACATTGAGAAGATCACAAAGAGAAAGAAAATACGCTATTTCAAATGATTATGTGGTTTATCTACAAGAGTCAAAAAATGACTTAGGCATTGATAATGATCCAGTTTCATTTTCAGAAGCCATTAATGGTGATAATTCTGATAAGTGGTTAGATGACATGAAAGATGAGCTTAAATCAATGGCACAAAATGGTGTTTGGGACCTTGTGGAATTGCCAGAAGGAAGCAAGAGAGTTGGATGTAAATGGGTCTTTAAGACTAAACGTGACTCGCATGGCAATATCGAACATTACAAGGCTTGACTTGTTGCCAAAGGTTTTACTCAAAAAGATGGCATTGACTACAAGGAAACTTTTTCTCCAGTTTCTAGGAAAGATTCTTTCAGAATTATCATGGCTCTAGTAGCTCATTATGATCTGGAGTTGCATTAAATGGATGTTAAAACTGCCTTTCTGAATGAAAATTTAGAAGAGGATGTTTATATGGACCAACCGGTGGGGTTCATTGAAGAAGGAAAGAAACACATGGTGTGTAAACTTAAGAAATCAATATACGGACTTAAACAGGCTTCCCGACAATGGTATCTTAAGTTTAATGATACTATTATGTGTTTTGGATTTAAAGAAAACACTGTTGATCAGTGTATATATCTGAAGGTTAGTGGGAACAAGTTTATATTTCTGATTCTGTATGTTGATGACATCTTGCTTGCAACTAATGATCTTGGTCTATTAAGTGAGACTAAGAAGTTTCTCTCTAACAACTTTGAAATGAAAGATATGGGTGAAGCAGGCTATGTGATAGGAATAGAAATATTCCGTGATAGATCACAAGGAATGTTAGGCTTATCTCAGAAAGCATATATTGACAAAGTTTTAGAGAGATTCAGAATGGATAAGTGTTCAACATCTCCCGTTCCAATACAAAAAGGAGACAAATTTAGTCTCACACAATGTCCAAAGAATGAACTGGAATGGAAACAGATGGAAAATATCCCTTATGCATCTATTGTTGGGAGTTTGATGTATGCTCAAACTTGTGTCTAGATATTAGTTTTGCAGTTGGTATGCTTGGTAGATACCAGAGTAATCCAGGATTGGATCATTGGAAAGCTGCAAAGAAAGTCTTAAGATACTTGCAAGGAACAAAGAATCACATGTTTACTTATAGGAGATTTGATCATCTTGAGGTGATTGGATATACAGATTCAGACTTTGCTAGTTGTATGGATACAAGAAAGTCTACATTTGGTTATGTGTATCTTTTAGCCGGAGGAGCGATTTCATGGAAAATTGCGAAGCAGTCAGTCATTGCTGCATCCACCATGGAGGTTGAATTTGTGGCATGCTTTGAGGCCACAATTTAGGCTAATTGGTTGCGGAATTTTATTTCAAGACTTGGAATAGTTGACAGTATTGCTAAGCCGCTGAAAATTTATTGTGATAATTCTGCAGCTGTCTTCTTTTCTAAAAACGACAAGTATTCCAAAGGTGCTAAGCATATGGAATTGAAATACTTTGCCGTTAAAGAAGAAGTTCAAAAACATAGAGTGTTAATAGAACATGTTAGCATGGATTTTATGATAGCTGACCCTTTAACAAAAAGGTTATCACCCAAGATATTTGCTGGCCATGTAAAGAATATGGGCATTATGTTTACTAGTGAATATTGAATGTTAATGTTATTATCAATGCCTATTTAACATTCTGAGCTCATTAAAGTACAAGTTTCTGAAATTTCTATTTTCTACCTTTATGTATATGCATGAAAATTATGATGTGGAAAACAAATCATGTTATTGTTAATGAAAATGACCTTATGTTTGAACCCATTATAGACTTCTCATTTTAAAGTCATATTAAAGAGAAGGATAATATAGTAGTACATGGAAGGGAACATGTTGATTAAATGACATGAAACCACCATGACTCTTATTATTTCCGTATCTTTAATTATGATTAATGACATAACCAATTTATTCAAGGTCTTTTAATGCGCATTATGATTTATGTAATTATTAAATATGAAATATTATGGCATCACATGAGTCAAGTGGAAGAATGTTGGGAAAATAAATAAATTAATTAAATAATGTGACTCATATGAAATATCATTATGGGCCTATAAAAGGGCTTATTGGTTATTATGGGAAGTTACTTATAGTTATCAACTTGATGGAGGTTGAACAAAATATATAAAAGAGTTCTGTCTCTGTCAAGAAAGTCTCTCATTTTTGTTAACCATCGAGCGTGTGAGAATGAAAGAACCAAAATTGTCAAAGAGATAGATTGAGTACAGGGAACATAAGATTTATTCTCATTGGACTTAATGGACAAAGGTATGTCTCTCTTGTCATTGAATTTAAGTGGGAATGATAAATTCTAAGATTCGTATGATGTACCGTAAAAGTTACATGTTATATGATGCACTATAAGTAATCTTACAGTTCAGACCTTAGTTGAAGGAAAGTCCAAAAAGATTGTCAAACCGTCCACACACTTGGATGGATATATTGTGGGATAAATTGGATTAGTTATGGAGAGAGTCTAGAAGGTAGTACGTAGCCTTATTCTATAGGTTCTGTTAGAAAGAATATTTGATACTTGATTATGTCAAAGATTTGAATTGGTGTGTATAATTTTTGTTATATATTCCAAAATGACGAATGAAAAGGGCATGTATGAAAAAGTTTTGTCTTTTCTCTCCCTAAAATTCTAGGAGGTTCCCTTGACCTCAAATCAAGGATTTATTCCTTATCATTTTAGTGCTTTCATTGAGCACTATTTATGGTTGACCCTTCTAAAAGTCTGTCTGATCGCCTAGAAGATGCGGTACTCAAAATTTCTGCCAACAATAAATTGCTTAATAAAAAAAAATGGAGGTCATTCTCACACATCTGGCCAAATCTTCAATTCACGATAACCCATCCTTGGATCATAAACCTCCAGATTTTGGTTTTGCTTCGAGCTCCCGTACTCACATGAAACTTGAGGTCCCCTGTTTTGACGGTCAGGATGCCATTGGTTGGATCTTCAAAATATCTCAGTTTTTTTGACTTTCACGGCACACCAGAGGAAGATTGACTTAAGATTGTTTCGTTTTACATGGAGAGCCCGGCTCTTAGTTGGTACCAATGGATGCATCGTAATGGTTTGATTACTTCTTGGTATGGTTTTCTCCAAGCTTTGGAAATGCGTTTTGCTCCTTCGTACTATAAAGATCCTCGTGGTGCTCTTTTCAAACTTCAGCAGAAAGGTACGGTTCAAGACTATCTCCACGAGTTTGAACATCTTGTTAATCGTGTAGTTGGCCTCCCTGCTCCATTTTTATTAAGTTGTTTTGTTTCTGGTCTCACTCCAGACATCCGTCGTGAGGTCCTAGCGATGCAACCAAACAATGTTAC